AATGGGGGGGGGGGGGAATGTTTTTTGTCTTCATCTTGTCCCTTTACAAACCGCTCCCCCAGGAAGTCTGCAACCCACTGGCTGTGCAAAGTGTCCAAGCGCTGACATGGCTGCAAGCGTCTTTTTTGGAATTACACACAAGATGGTCTCACACTAAGTCATGGGCTTCTCCTATGCTTAATGCGCTTTGTGGTGGCTTCTCATTCCGGCTCGGTGCCCAGCATGCTGCTAAATAACTAGGGACTGTAATGACAATTCCAATATTCACTTTCCTTTCTGTCTCCTTGGGGATCCCGTGAGCTTGGCAACATCCACCTGTATTAGGCTGCATGACAGTCTTGTTATAAAAAAGAAACCCTGGCCAATGGTTAAAGCCCAGCAGTGACAATGAGCAGATCTGCACAGTACACAGAGACTGGTCAAGTCATTTCGTGTTTGTGCCTCGGTTACTCCACAGCAATATTTACTGCCAACGGGCAACAGAGAAGCCAAGGGTCTCTAAAGCACTTTGAGATCCCTGGAGTAAAAGTGGCAGCAAACACCACATTTTTAAGTTATAACTATCGTTATGGGGTCCCTACTGGCCCATCTGGGCATTATCTTTACACAAGACAGAGAGCCTGATATTGAGAAAATGCCACTAACCCCCTTCTGCTCTGTAAACTGCTATATCTCTTGGAATCGCCCATTCGAGCAGAGCAGCCACCTCCCGACTCGAACTGGACGGCTGTTTCACTGTGCTGTGACGCTACAGGGCAGGGATTTAGGGAGGCCTCACGTACAGCAGCATTTGGGAGAAGACTGGTATAGCCAGCAGTCAAGACAGAGGGTCTGCATCCGATAAGGCTGCCACTTGATCACTTGGAGCCATTTCTGAAGACCTGAGGAGACTCCTGGATGCAGCGTGGCTGCTGCAAAGGTCAGGATAGCTCGTACAGCACAGCCCCTGTCCTCTGGCACTGTCTGCCAGGTAGTAATCAGAAACAACTGCAGTAACCCACAAACCCGCAGTGTGATGCCACAAGCTGGTGGCAGCCCCTGACACTACTAATGTGCTTTGCTGTGTGCAGGGACAGAGGTAGCAGGGTGCAAGTGCTGTTCAGCTGGAGCATCAATTCCTTTTTATTAACCACCCTCCCCAAACAGAGAGGGAAGTGCTGCAAGACTAAAGGAGACAACCACAGATACCTCTGACGTAAGCTCACAGAAGAGCACGGGCAGTGGAAACTGGGACCGGGTGCTGACATGGGGAGGTGCGAGAAGACGACTGGGTCAGGGACAGCGTGAGAGTAGCTTGAGACTGAAAAGGTAGAGGGCAGAGCCTCATGTACTCAAGCCAGAGAGCAGAGGCTCCAGGGACAGCAACACTTGTGAAGGCGGCCATTTAAAATGAGACACCCAAATCCATTTACGCTGTAATGCTTCTCCAGGCAGGGTTGGGCTCTTATGTGTTTCTACGATATTTAATATAGCCGGGCCCTGCTGTCAGCTGCGATCCTTTAAATGTTCCTGTAATGCAGGTAACGAACAACACATCCAGAGCTTTTAGATACCCAAATAAGGATCCTTCTTTCCAGAAGTGCTGAGCTCCTGTTGGCTTCATCAGAGGTGCTCAGCCCCTCCAAAAGGCAGGCTGCTTCCCCAGATGCCCAGCCGTAAGCATCCAGGGAAGCAGGCAGAGAGAGTAGGGAGATTAGCCTCAATTTACTCCTGCCTGCTGCTCTGAAGTAGAGTTAATGCTGCTCCCCAAAGGGGATTAGTTAATCAGGCCACCCAGCTGGCAGAGAGTCAGCAGCTTGAAGGCACAGGAAAAGGTGAGGCTATACAGAGAGGAGGAGGATACTGTGCAGCGGCCTGGAGTTGACCTGAATCTCCACTCCTGGACCCAGTCAGGGTGCTTACGTGCTGGTCATGGTAAAAGGACGGGAGTGCACTCCAGCTGCAGAGGGTGCGATCAACTAAGCTTCTGCTCTCCTATAGCATCCCTTCTCCAAAGACCTGTGGGTGCTGTACCAACATGCACCTGTAAGTGTTACACAACACACCCCTACGAGAGCAGAGAGCAGCATCCCAACTCACGAGTGAGAGATGGGACCTGGGACAAGCCACTATGCACCAGTTTAAGATGGGAAGTAACACAGAGGATGAGACAGCCCTCTGATGCCACAGGGGGATCCAGAAAGACACTCAGGGTGAAGCCTGAGCTGGGCTCTAACACCTTGCAATATTTCTGCAAGGTTACAGAGGACTCCAGAGACCTTGTGTGGTTACTGGTGCATCCTGGCATTAGCTACACTGGGAACAGTAAAACTTTGGCCCCGTGCCTCTGAAACTGGTAAGGATTTAAAACTATCTGCTATTCCCTCCAGCCGCCAGCAGCAGTGATGCCTCCCTCCCTGCTCCAGAAGATGAGTCCAGCCCTTCCCTGGGACCAAGGGGCACTGCTCTGAAAAGCATCTTCTTCTCCAGGGCAGAAGACACCACAGGCTTCCTGCGGGCTCAGAGCTCACCTTGTCTGTCGGCAGAGTGCTGGGGATGAGAGTGGTACAGCGTCTGCTGGCTCTGCCGGATAGCAGCCGTGAGCGGGAGGTCCGCCTGCATCACCCACTCCTGGTTCCCGTTTAACACCGTCTCGCCTGGCATGGCTAACGAATGCCGCTTGGGGACGTCCTTGGTTAAAGTGGCTAAGGACTGCTTGGCCTGGTGGAAGAACCGAAACACAGGACCATAAAACAGCTCTCTCAAGACAGCGCTTGGGTTGCAATGAGATCACCACCCCTCCCACCCAAGAGGGGCTGGCACAAGGCACGTGGGTGACTCGCACCCTCAAATACAGCCTACCTGTTGCTTCGAGTGCCAAACCCTCCTCAGAGACACCCCCTTTCTTTTTTCAAGGCTGATGACTAATGTGCAGGTGGATCTGCCTGCTGCCAGTGCTGTGGTAAAAAGCCCAAACTTGCCAAGGTTTAAGTGCTAGAACAGCTACTCTTCGTATCTGCTCGAATACAGAGCAAAACACAAACAGCAGCACGAACTTGCTGAAAGCAGGAAAGCCGGCTTCAACTTTCCTGTAACCTCCATGTGAAGGGCTTGGACTAAGGTTAAAGCCAGGACTGGCTGGCTGAAGTCAAGCCCAGGCGGACATAGTAAGGAAAATGAAACCAGGCACCAAGAGTGTGATTGCCTCAGAGAGAAACCTGCACCAAAAACTGAAACAGATGTTCATCCAAATGCAGGAGTCCCTGAATTGCGCAGCAAGCAGTGCCAAGTTTCACGAAGACAGACAAAGGTACAAAGAAAAAGTCAGCGGTTGGCTTTGGTTCAGATGTGTTAAACAGGCCTGTTTGTTCCTCTGCCACTCCCAGCAGAGTTAGAAGGGATGTTTCCTCCTGTTCAGTATTTTGCTTTTTTGAAAAATTTAACAGAAGCATCTATAAGGTGAAAAAAAAAAGCAACAAAAAACAATTCTCATTGCAGAGGCCCCTGCCACTCAGCTGCACCTTCTAATTAGCCAGCGGATAATCATTTCTGTGATTCACTTGACATTTTATAATGCAGAAAACTTACAGAACATCCCTTGCTCGATTTCAAGTCTATTGGACTCACATGGGGTTGTTTCCTGTGGTCGTGTTGAGCACTATTCCTTAAAAGCCTGATGCTGTATTCTGAGCCCTGCAGATGGATTGGCCTGTCTGCACGAAGCACCCCGACTTCACTGGGCCTCTGCCCTGTGCAGTGGGATGCTTCAGATCACAGGATCTGGACCTAAATAAAGCATGACTGTTGTATTAAACGATGTGTGGCCTTTGCCCTTGTTTCGAAGGCATGGTTAGGGCACACATCAGGTCCTATTGTTCACAAAAAGCTAGCACAAGTGACTTATTGCCCACACTCCTTTCTCAAGGCAGGTTTCCAATAAGCTGATGTGCAATGCCCCGAGTGGCATTTGCTGCAGGCCATCCAACTGAGAAACCAGGAGCTATGGACAAAGCCCCTCTAGAGTCCAATTCTGCTTTCTCTGCAGAGTGGGAGTTTGGGACAGATTTCTTTGGGAGCAGGTTTCCCAATGTCTGAGCGAGAGATCACTGAAGTCCACAGGCATTGCCTTTGGTCCCAGCTACTTCTGGCTCACATCCCAAAGGAGTAAATGTTTACCAGGGGATGTCATAGAATCATAGAAGTCGGGTCGAAGGGACCTTGTAGATCTTCAAGTCCAACCCCCCGCCTGGGCGGGAGAAAAACTGGACTCAAATGAGTCCAGCCAGGTAGTCACCAAGCCTCTTCTTAAAGACCCCCCGGGTAGGAGCCAGCACCACTTCCCTAGGAAGCTGGTTCCAGCTCCTAGCCACCCTAACTGTGAAGTAGTTCTTGCGGATGTCTAATCTAAACCTACTCTCCAATAATTTGTGTCCATTGTTCCTTGTTATGC